ACAATCTGAGGTACAGGATCTCAAGATAAATCCTGAGGGCATTTCACTGACCTTCTCAAACCAAAAAGCTACAACTCTTGTTGCACAGGTCCTGCTTTACCTTGGTCTTAACCATCCAGTAGAAAAATATGAAGACGAAATATAGGAAGTAAAGCCATGTTGTTATGTTGAGCTGTGGGGGACTCAGGTCAATAATTTCTGACATTGCCAGTTAAACAGAAGACCCAATGCTATTATGGGCTACTGGACTCTTTTAGAATATTTTGCTGAGTTTACACACCTATAATATTCAATAACGGAACTTAGGAAAAATGGGGTACACCGATGAATGTCCATTCTGTATCTGTGTATTCAAAGTGGTTGGGGTAGATATATAGTTGCATTGTCTTAATGACTGGAATGATTTGTTCTAATGGTGTTTGTAAATAGGATCACAAGTCTGCATCTTGTACAGCAATTAACCACTAAGAAGAATATATGCAGTGTATTATTTGTTGAAACTGTACTTCCGATTTGATTTGAAACTGTCTCATTGCTATATGTTTATCAATAAAACTGTAGAAAAAAAAAAAGATGTGTCTGGGCTTATGATACCATGCATTACACATGAATGAGTACAGAGGCCCAGGCCATGGCCTAGGGAATGGTGGCAGGAGAATAAGGGGTGTGGGGATAACAGGGTGACATGAGGGAACTTGGCTGAGACCAGTGATGACCAAGTGACATGCCTGGAAGACCTGATGAATAAATGCACCCTCTGCACAGGTGTCCCAAAAATGGGTCAAGTACAGGCTGTGATCAACCTCAGGGAGAAGGGCTGGGCTGACGTGGGCAGTATGCCGTACGTTTTCTCAAAATAAAGGACTGAAGTTCCCTTACAGTGTAAATGAGCAACCTAGAATTATCTTGGTAATTGATCTTAATAAGTGAACCTGAGAACAAGCTTGATGTTCTCATTTAGGCATTACAAGTTGATGCTAGTGCGGTAGATACATACTTATCCTTCTACGAAAATTCTTTCATTGGAGAGATTAAATTAAGGGTATTTCACTTGATGCACGAGATACCAGCCTTCTCTTGTCTGGTAAGTTTTCCAGATGCTTTTGCATCGGTGTATTTTCTAAAGAAGGATTTTATTTTTTAGAGCAACTTTGGGTTCACAGCAAGTTGGGTGGACAGCCCAGATAGTTCCCACTTATAGCCCACCATACCTGTGCCCGCGCTTCTCCATTACCCTCATCCTCCACCTGAGTGGGGCATTCATGGCACTGGGTTAACCAGTGTGGCTACGTGGTTGTCACCCCAAGTGCATAGTTTACATTAGTATTCACTCTTGTATCTTCCATAGGTGCGGGCAAGTTTGTTCTTTTGTTTCTTCTT